AATTAATGTCTTAATGTTTACAAGACATGTATACTAGTTACAAATGAAATGGGCCAACTGTGTGCCTGCCTGTACATGCCATAAAAAGGGTAGACAAAAAAATACATATCCAAATGAGTAGCTACCCTGAATACTGAGTCTTCTACAGATGAACTGGACTCTCTACGGTCTAGTCTCAAAACCTGCGAGTTAAACAGGTAACTCGCAGAGCAAATAAAGCTCAGTGGATATCTCAACATAGAAAGAAGCAATTAAGCACATCCATAGATAGAAATAAGCATGTAAATGCATAAGGATAACCAAACATATAAGCATATATAGCATGATCCTTTCCTTATACCTTGATTTTCTTTCGTACTGTTTATCATACTGTATGATTTATGAATTGTTATGTCACAATATCTGTATGGCTCCATAAGGTTATAGTGAAACCGAGGTGATAAGGGAAGTATGAAACTGGATGAATACTGTATGGCTGAGCTGCTATGGCCCATATATAATCATATCCACTCAACGGCCTGTAGATCTGCTATCCTATGTCGCAACATAGCCTTATCTACATGGTTTCTACCTAACCTCAATGGAGCAAAGTGTTGGTATGTCAATAAGATAACACAATAGCATATTCATAGTTCATAATTTCATAATCCATAATGTTCATTTGATATCACATCATTTGTATGCTTAAATGTTGTTTTGATGCATGATTTAATGTTATATTTTTGTATTAAGATGATTGGAGGCATGTAAGTGAAGCAAAGGAATACAATTGCATTGAAAAAGAAGTCCAAAGTGCATGAAAACACAAGTCGCGAGCGCGTACTTTGAAAGTCGCGAGCGCGTAGTGTGCAAAATGTGACAGACAGTGGAGTTATCGGGCACAAAGTCGCGGACGCGTAACTTGAAAAGTCGCGAGCGCGAGACGTCCCAAATGAGAGAACCGTGAAGTTCGCCACGGCAAACTCCGCGAGCGCGGAGTGAAAGGTGCGAGCGGCTTACAGGCCTAACGGGGGCAAGTACGCGACGCGCACTTTCACAGTCCGAGCGCGAGATGTGCAAATGAGAGTCATGAGAGTTTCGAGCACAAGTCAGCGCCACTTGAAAGTCGAGAGCGCGAGATGTGCCAAATGAAAAGAAAGTCAGAGAGTTTTTCAGGTGAAAGTCGCGAGCGCGTAGTTCCAAATTTCGCGAGCGCAGAAGGCAACGCGAACTCATCATCGCAATTCGCGCGCGCGCTTCCTAGCCTGCACTGTCTGTACTCTTTTGTCAATATCTCTCAATATACAATCCAATGTTGGATGATTCAAAACCCATGTAAAGCTAACACATAGAGGAAACTAACTCTTCTATGAACTTCCTACCGAATCATAAATGGGGTCAAAATCAATGATGAAACGTTACTAGTAAGCAAAACCTGTTTCAACATAAACTCAATACTCACTTCATTTATTCAATACTTCCCCTGTTTTCCCCTGTTTTCTCACCATTACCAGTCCTCTCACTCAACATAAAGCAATATGTCTCAGTAGCAACACACCACACAATTTCTCATGCAAAGAAAATGGAAAAGAACAAGAGATATCAAACCTTTACTCCAAAAGCTTGAGCTCCTCTTTAGCTTCTTTTTTCTACTCCCTTAGAACTCCCTTCACCTATAAAGAAGAATTCTTATAAATTCTAAAATAACAACACCAAATGATTCAATTATGAACTTCAAGAAGGTTTACTTACTTGGAAAGGAAGAAGATGAAGATAAACATGAAAATGGGAAAGCTGAAAAATGTGTATTACGGGTAGGCCCATCAAAATCAAGATTTTTATGGAAAACTTCCTAAACTGACTTAATACCCAAGCTTGTTCTTTTAATGCCATTAAATCCTAATCCTTACACTTTGCTCTTTTTCTCTCATTTCTCTCACTCAAATAAGTCCACTTATAATCTCATTCTACCCCAACCGGGTTTGGTTCAACTCGACTCAACTCGACTACTCAACTCTATGCTAAGACTTGACTCGGTAGGATGTCACAAGTATAATAGGAGTTCTAATTTTCAATATGAGTTTAAGATGACAAGCCAATAAATTCAAGCTCTAATGAGGAACTCATGTGGATACATAATATCAATGTTATCTGAATCAATTGAAGAACTACACACACCATCAGAACTAAGATAAGTTTTTTCCTCTTGTAGTGTATATTATATAATAAATTCATTAATTTATGAGATTATAACATTTTTCAGCATAATAATCGCTCGTTCTCAAGAGTAAGATAGATCATGAGGCACATTATTAAGATCAATATATATAGCTTGTACAATTGATTTAGTTGGATCAGAGTTAGTATCAATTAGAAAGTCATTGGTATTTTAACATAAGCAGCTTCTAAATCATTAGTAATAGGCACATCACATATTTGACCATTCCAATAGTAGGTATCCAAGAAGCAAATTCTTCTAGTTCCTATTTTTTAGCATCTGTCAAACCTTTAGTAGAAAGTCTCATATTTTGCTTCAAGTAAAACACTTATATAGTATGTCATATGTCCGAATCATCTGCATTAACAGTTTCAACTTTGCAACCATCAGACTTGGTGAAACTCTCCATTAAAAAGAACAAGTTTGCCACCAAAAGGACACAAATTATTGGAAGAAGAGTTTGAAAAAAGAACATCACCAAGTGCCTTATCTAAAACCTCGAAACATGTTTTGTTATTCATAGGGGCTTCATCCTAAACAATAACGGCAACATCTTATATAAGTTTTGCAAGATTGTTCATATTTTTATCCAACATGTGGAAGATTCATCAATAGATAATGAAATTTAAAAACGGGAGTGTGCTATCCTACCACCTAGGAGTAGTGAGATGTAATTCCTGATGATGCAATTATAAGAAAAACCATTCCTTTAAATCTTATCTTTAAAATGATTACATGCCATGAGAATGTTTTCCAATTCCTCCATGACCATATTGTTTTTTGTTTGTAATACATTTGATGACATGATCTTAAATTTCTCTTTATTAGCCAAACATCATATAGAATCATTTAGTAACACAAAACATAACATAACACATATTAAGGCAATAAAGAATCGTTCTGCTTGAGGATCAAGCATTACCACAAGGCAACAAATGGCACCTTATATATAGATGTGGGTGGGGATGGAAGTAGAACGAGTGTTTTAGGGTACCTACGTCACTTTGATCAGTTTAATGAAGGTATGCATAGTGAAAATTATTACCAATAAGAGATATGACTAGCGTGCAAGTATAAAGTCCTAGGGTATCCGCTATATTAAAGGTGTCTTGTCATAGGTACCTGCGGGTGTCCTACATATTATTAGTAAAAGATGCATCTTAAATAATTAGGGTGAATAATTTAATATTTCAAATACTTTATTACCCGTTTAAGAGGTATTTTAAATGAATTTGGAAAGAGTATGAGCAGTAAAATATTTTAAATGGATTTGGGAGGATGCATGTAGTAAAATTCTAAATGGATCTAGATATAGGTAGCTCAAAATTCGTGGTTACCTATCTCGCTTCCATCCTAGATGTGAGAGCACCTATGAAGATTAAGACTAGAACTCTATAACTCAAGTGACCTTAGCTACTATTCATTTCCCCACTATACATCTTAAAGTAGTGATTGGAGATATTACATAACAAAACATGCTTATACTTGAGCTATTACGCTCCCTAGAATTACAGATATTATAAGAAATTATGAAATTTGCCCTCTTTACAACAATAATTTTGCTCTTGATTTATGTACTATTGAACTTCTCAAATTTTATATATTACATAGTACAACTTTTTAATACTATGTAAATTATTGTGCATGAAGTTGAGCTAATTTTAATTTTAATATTAATATTATGGCAAATATAAATCTCAATATAAAAGGAAAAAAATGTTCTTGTTGAATCTGACACTCCAGAAGTGGTTTCTACAGTGACAAATCTGCAGTTTGACCTCACAAATTGGGGTTGTGTAATTGCTGACTGTGCGTGCAGTCTTGTGTTCTTCATGCAACAATGTTTCAATTGCTTGGATGAGAAAACAAGCAAATTCTGTTGCTCATGATTTGGCAAGGGTGGCGAATTCATACACTAGTCTTTAAGTATGACATCTATTAATATTTCTCATTTGATTGTAAAGGATAGTGCTTTGATTCATGAATAAAGTTTCCTTTCTTCTCCAGAAGAAGAAAAAAAAATCTTGAGATTTTATAGTTATTTAAAAATACAACAAAATGAAAGGGGTGAATGTTCTTTCTTTGACAACCAACCATCATTCAATGAATTCAATCTCACGTTCAATTTCAAAAACATTGAACCACCTTGCACATAGAAAATTAAAAAGTTTGCTGACATATTAAAATTTAAAAAAAAAGAAAAAAACATTTATGTCTTCTGCTTTTATTGTTTATAAAGTTTTAATTAAAATTTAAAATAACAACCTCACAATCTTTTAAGTTTAACTGTAACTCTAATATCCAATTAATCAAAATTTATTTATGTCATTCCGATGAAAACAAGCATATGAGTTTAGAAAATTTCAATTATGTCATCTAATAAAACGAAGAAAAGATTGACGGTGTGTCCAAATTCAACGATCACTGTTATGATTTATGACCCTTCACATGCCAAAATAAACAAAGATGATTAAAAATTAATAAAAAGAAAAAACAACAATGGCGCGTAGAACCACGTGCCAGGCCAGTCATTCATGTATCAGCTTACTGTACGAAAAGCCATCGACGAAATGAGAAAAAAGAAAAAGAATATCCGAGTCAGCAACACACATCAACAGTTTATAAGCCAACGTGTGTGCGAGATTTCGGGTGTCCGGTACGCACCCGAAAAGTAAACGAAATATAATTTGTTTCGTCTTTTTTTCCTTCTTTATATTAATTATTACTAAAAATAAAAATTCTCCGAATATTACGATTGCGCCATGGAATAAAAACCGCACGGTCCGCACCGCTTCTCTTTCTCTCTCCGACAATGGAATTCTAGAGAGAGAAAGAAAAAAATAAAGAGAAAAGAAAACCCCAAAATTCTAGTCTAGAGAGAGAAATTAAAAAAAAGGAAAAAAAAAATTAAGAAACCAAGTTCAGCTCACCTCTCCCAGACTCCAGAACATGGACGTATTTAGGGTTTTTACGCTTCTTTAAGCTTGTGAAAATTCTCAATCAGAGATCTCCATGGAAATGCCCGGTCGAAGATCCAATTACACGCTTCTTAGCCAGTATCCAGACGACCAGCTTGTGGCGGCGGCGCCACCACCACCACCACCACCACCGTACTACGACCCGTCTATCTCAAGTGATACAAAGAGTAGTAAGTTGAAGCCTGACAGAGGCTTCGATTGGGACTCTAGCGGAGATCAAAGAGCAAATCAACAAGCGAGCAGTAATCGGATTGGTAACTTGAACTTGTATTCGTCGATCGGGTTGCAAAGGCAATCGAGCGGGAGTAGTTTTGGGGAGAGTTCATTGTCGGGAGAGTATTATGCTCCGACGCTGTCAACGACTGGTGGAAATGAGATTGAAGCATATGGGTATATGCATGAGGACGGGAATTTGATGAGAGTAAGAGCGGTGGATGCGGGTGTTGTTACGGGATCGTCAGGTAAGAGCTGGGCCCAGCAGACGGAGGAGAGTTATCAGTTGCAGTTGGCTTTGGCATTGAGATTGTCGTCTGAGGCGACTTGTGCTGACGATCCAAATTTTTTGGATCCAGTACCAGATGAATCCGCGTTAAGGTCGACCAGCTCCAATTCTCCTGAGGCCTTATCTCATCGTTTTTGGGTAAGATTTTTATTATGCTTATTTATCGTATCTTTTATTTGCTATATTTTGGTATGTGTTTGTGGGGTATGGCAATTTATGGCTTTGCATGTATTGGGTGCCTATACTAGGTTGCGAATCCAAGTTGGAAGAATGTTTACGAGGAATGAAAATGTTGATATTTTCAAGTACGCTTGCTTGGACTGCTGAGTTGTAGAAGATGTAAGCTGAATGGTTAACGAGGCAGTGAATTGTTATGACTGTCCTGTTTACCAGTTGAAACGATATATATTTATTTACAAGGAGAGTAGAATTAGTTTACTAAGTATCTATAGCATTTAGAATCTAGTTTACATGTTTAATCTTATTAGTAGAATTTCTGGAATTCTCTGTTATCTATTCTAGGATGTGAACTATTAATGGTCCTAGTGTTCGAAATAAACAGAGAGTGAATTTGTTTTTTTGAATGTATTCCGCTGGAGAGTGAAAGATCAATGCACTTGCAAAGAAGTTGGATATTAGAATCTCACAGGCATGTTGGTTGAGGTTGCTTGAGTTGGATCTGGGATGGTGGTGGTTTACTATTGAAGTGATAAAGGATGTTGACAAGAGAAAGTTCAAATTTCTGTTAAAATTGATGCAGCATTAGAACATTACTATTTGATGCTAAACAAAATTCCTGTAGTTGGTAGTGAGCAGGCCTATCAGTGGATGCCAGGTGTAGTGCGTGCAAAACTATATTGTTTGATAGGATGTGTCATATATGTATAGGATTGCAATATTGCCATAGGAAGATTCGTTGATGCCCAAACAACTTGGTTTTGAACTTATAAATTGATCAAGTTGTTTGGTAGGTTAATCAAAGATATCTTTTGTAGTTTGGAAGTACTTTATTGACAGCCAGTAGTGTTTTCCTTTTATGGGTTCCTTTTTATATATGATATGATAAATATAATTAGTTAATCATTATGAAATTATCCAATTAAATTTATATATTATTTGCCCATTGGATGAACTACATAATAGAATAGCTCTCTCAGCCTTTTTGTAAAATTTTCCCATTGCAGTCGTAATGATATTAGAATGTGCATGTTAGATATGTCAAACTTTTAGCATTGGTTTTTCTTAGAAGACATTAAAAAAGGTACAATTCATTACTTACATTTTATTTTTTTACTTTAGTAACATGCTTCACTATATTATATTCTGTATACATGAGAACCCATGAAAAATTAATTTATTATAATTAGTTATAAGAACCGATATGAGGCTACTGTTTTGGTATTACTTCTTTTAAACCTTCTTATACATGAAAGCATAGTTCAAGAAAAACTTGATATTATAAAAACGTACAAACTATCCTGCTTGAAATGTAATATGTGTTTTAACTCCATGTTTATTTTTAAATAAGTACGGACAGAAAACCATGAAATGAAATATTATTAATGGTAGTATAGAAAAATACCAAACCAACTTATTTAATTTAGTAAGAGTGTGACTTTGCTAATATTTAAGTCCAGAAATCATCTTGGTCTAGCTAAACAAAACTCATTCTAGCGATATTGCCGTTCGTTTAGTTATTGTTATTCATTATGTTGCTTTGTAATTTTCATGTTTGAAGTAGAAATAAGATCTTTGTTGACTTAATTGTTTGTGATAATAATTTTCTGCAGAAATCTCGAAATGTTAGATCTAATGTGAGAGTGAAAGGGCCTTCCTTCCCTCTCATATCCTTTGTTTGTAACTGGATACACATGAAAATCATTACTTGAATAGATCACTGTAGTTCTTGCTTCTCCTGTGCTTATTATTGTCAAACCTATTATTGTCAAACCTATTGCAAATGATTGCTTAGATGGATGGGGACCTATAGCAATACCCCTCTTATTCTCCATTTCTTACAAGCAATGTGGAAGGGAAAAGGTAATTTGACTGTTACATCGCAATTATACTGTTATAGCACTAAGGGCTCTTTTGTTTTGGAGGGAGGAGGATAAATTTTATGTTATATGTACTTTGATAGAGGTTTCTAGTTTGCCTTTATATCCAGATTTATATAATTGTTTTATATGTACTTTGATAGAGGTTTCTAGTTTGCCTTTTAATATCCAGTATTTATATATTATATATATATATATTATATTATATATATATTATATATATATATATATATATTTTTTACCTGGACTTTTTTTGTGTGGCTTCATCATCAAAGCTTTTCTGATAACAACATTCATTTCTTTGTCCTTTGTAGCAAGGTGTGCATATGATGAACTTGAAAGGTTCAAGTAGTATGGGTGTGACTGGGTGGCCAGCTTCTGAATATTGCCTTTTTTTGGGTTGACTTATGGGTCCATAATTGCTTATATATTTTTACCTGGACTTTTTGTGGCTTTCATCAACTTTTCTGATAACAACATTCATTTCTTGTCCTTTGTACAAGGGTGTGCATATGATGACTTGAAAGGTTCAAGTAGTATGGGTGTGACTGGGTGGCCCAGCTCTGAATATTGCCTTTTTGGGTTGACTTAATGGGGTCCATAATTGCTTTTTGTCTTAGTCTATTAAGAACTTATGTTTCAGCTAGTTGAGTTTAGAGGATGGAACTCGGGTGTCCATTTCCCATTTTTATTTGGTTCTTTTGTTGCTAATTTTAGTAAGGTATACATGTTAAATATTATTTATCTTCTTTCTTTGTTTTTTTTGTTTCTTTTTTCTTTTTTCTTTTTGGTTGGTGGTTGCAAGAGCACCTCATTAGTTTTCTCATGCATCAGGTGAATGGCTGCTTATCGTATTTTGACAAAATTCCTGATGGATTTTACCAAATACATGGAATGGATCCATATGTGTGGACTATGTGCACTGATTTGCATGAGAATGGTCGTATTCCGTCTATCGAGTCATTAAAGTCTGTTGATCCTAGCACTAGTTCTTCATTGGAAGTGGTTTTGATTGATCGACGCAGTGATCCAAGCTTAAAGGAACTCCAGAATAGGGTCCACAGCATTTCTTGCAGCTGTATAACCACAAAAGAGGTAGTTGATCAGCTGGCAAAGCTTGTTTGCAATCACATGGGGTGAGTTCTACTCATTTAAGCAAAAATCTAGGAGTTAATTTGCTCTACATTAAAGTTGTTGATCAAGTTTTTTTATTGCTATCAATAAGGGGTTCAGCCTCCATGGTAGAAGATGATTTCATTTCCGTCTGGAAGGAATGCAGTGATGATCTAAAAGATTGCCTAGGATCTGTTGTGGTTCCTATAGGCAGTCTATCCATTGGTCTTTGCAGGCATCGAGCATTACTATTCAAGGTTAGGTCTCCATAATATATGATCCTAATTTTAGTTTCACTCGCAACTTTTAAGTTTGTCGCAATATTTATAATTCATCTTTTTATAATGGAACTCTCTCTACATATTCTTGATATTATTGTTGTAGATTGATGCTTACTTCATGTAACATATCTCTAGGTGCTCGCGGACACAATTGATTTGCCATGTCGAATTGCAAGAGGCTGCAAATATTGTAAAAGAGACGATGCTTCTTCCTGTCTTGTACGATTTGGCCTTGACAGGTATTCTTGTTGGTTCCTGGTCTTTTCATAATGTATACCACCTAGAATATAACAATTTACATGATGTCGAGTCTAAACAATTTACTGTGGGCTTGGTGTAAATTATTAAGATTCTCTTCACATTGAAGTCTTTCCTGTTGTTTTCTTGTGATGATCTACTCCCCTTCCCCAGTTATAACCACAGAAATATTGCCGAATATTCTACAACTCTCCTTGAAATGCTTAGAAAGATTGAGAAGAATTATTTCAAGTATGTTTGCTAGATAGAGTCATTATGCTGTAAATGTGGTAGTTCTTTTACACTTTGTGAAAAATTGTATACAATTTTCTGAATTGATTACACTGGCTTCAGGTGATACTTACTGTGTGGCTTCTGCCCTTTCTTCTTTTTCAATCAAACTACTTTATTGACAGCAGGTTTTCTAGCTTATCATGGTGGATCAGAAATGTTTGTAAACTAGAAAATTACAGCAGCAATTTATGATCAACAAATTTTATATTATTTTTCTCCATTTCAGGGAGTATCTAGTTGATTTGATAGGGAAGGCTGGTTGTTTATGTGAGCCTGATTCCTTGCTCAATGGTCCTTCTTCCATCTCAATTTCTTCACCGTTGCGCTTTCCCCGAGCGAAATCAGCTGAACCTTCCGTTGATTTCAGGTCTTTGGCCAAACAATACTTCTCGGACTGTCAATCACTTAATCTTGTATTTGATGATTCTTCAGCAGGTAATACAAGAAAAAACAGTTGTGTATGAGTATGCAAATTGTTATTGTTGTGATTCATCTTTGAATACTATTATTTTACCTTTGGATGATGTCTTTATTTAATTCCTGATTATCTTATAATATTGAGGGTTTTATTCTCATTGGTGATTGTTATTTGCCTTTGTCCAAAGTTAGAATTAAATGCATTTGCGACTAGTTGCTCTACAGTTTTCTTACTTGCAGTTTGATAATAACCTTACGCACTTCCTCTCAAGTACCAAATAGGGGACACTGCTTCGCTTTCTAGTATCCTAAAATATTTTGTCATTTTGGAAATCAAGGGAGAACTTTCTTGATTAACCAAACAAGACAGTAAAACACATCTAGTTAGCATTCGTACTAGGATATCGGCCGTGATGCTTATACTTCACATGCAAATATACTACAAATTTGAAAGTGGAAAAGTTCACCTTGCTACTTTTATGTTTGGTGGGGTTTTTATGTAGTTAGAAATGATACTAACATCGTAGCTCGTTGAACTTAAGTCTTCTTGATACAACGTTAAATGAAAGTTAGATTTTTATCTTGTTTTTGAATATTTGATATTGATGTTGATTCATTCCTTGCACACTTTGACGGGAGGTATTTTTTTCACCTTGCTCTTGTCATCTGTTATTTATTAGAATATATGATATTGTTCATTACATTATTTCCACTTGTTTGCTATTAGTTCTCTCTTCTTTTTCTCTGAACAACACACCAAAGAGAAAAGGAAGAAAAAGAAAAATGAAGATTGCTGATGCATTTTTTCTGTGATTTCTTATCAGTGATATCTGTATGAAATCATCATTTTTTTAATCGATTTTACTGGGGCATACACTTATAGACCTAAACCATGAAAATCTACTACACTCCAGATTTATCCCTCTACCAGTAATGCATAGATCTAATTTTTGAATTCCCTTTTAAAACTGAAATCTGCTTGCTTGGCTGTTGCCCTCCCTCTATCTGTGTGTTGGGATAAATAAAAATTGATGCTGCTTTTGATAACTGAAAAAAAAGAAGTATGGTACATTAACTAATGCTTCATTTTCGAGTTCAAGTTGATAGGGAGACTTCTAAGTTGAGAAATATAATTTACTTAGTGTTTTCTTCTCTTGCTGGATTAACATTTGATTCTTCTCTTGATGATATCTGTTGGTTTAGTGTTTTATTATCGGTCTGGTATAATGTGCCTTGCACTCTGTTGACTGCTGTTATTGTAGTTACTGTTCTTGATGGAGAAGCTCCTGGATTCTCTATTAAGCAAATTGAGAGAACAGATGGAGATAGAAGTAACCTCGTGCAAGTAACGAGCAACAACAATGAGATCTCTCAGTTACCTCTGCCAATGAAAATTGGTCGGACAAGTGCCCAGGATAGAAACACACAAGCTTTTAAACCGTACAATCCTTCCCACAATATGAAACAATCAATACAGATGGTGAAAGATCCACTCCCTTTAAAGCATATTCCAAATATTGCACGTAGAGATGTCCAACCACTTGTAACATTGCCTGATCAGAGAGTAGATACTAGTAAAAATTCAAGGTTTTCTGAAGATAGTCAACTGGTTCCAAGTAAAGAGCTTACACTTGATGTTGACGATTTGGATATTCCATGGAGTGATCTTGTTTTGAAAGAGAGAATTGGAGCAGGTAATTTGCCCCTTTTGTTTATTCTACATCTTGGAATTAAGCAGTTACTGTTATAGCAGAGAGAGGCCATTTTGCTCTCCTGCTGTAATGCAATTGACCCAAATAATCTTGCAGGAGGCTGTGCTACAATACTGAAAGTTACATTGTCTATTTTCAGGTTCTTTTGGAACTGTTCACCGTGCTGATTGGCATGGCTCGGTAAGCTACTTGTGTTTGTTTATATGTCTATTACATGCATAAATGCTGACGAAATATTAATGCTTTTAGTATTATAAAATTTTCATTTCTGGTTCTGAAATAATGAGTTCATTGTATGATTCGGTGATTGTCTCTGTAATCATTTATATGCATTTGAAAATTAAACTTTTGGATCTGTCAAAAAGAATATGCAAATTTAAGCTTTCATATGAGAATCTGAAAACTTAAATGCTACATGTATTATCCAATATGCTGATATGATCTGAATTATGCGACTTATTGTCCAGATGATAATGTAGACCCTGGGTTCTACTTATTCAAGCTTAAAATAAGGCACCTACCGCGTGTTACTATAATAAATTAATTCCTAATGCAGGAACTACGATTTTTCATGTTTTTTGGTTCTATTGTGTTGCAAGAATGATTTCTTGTTGTACTGTCACCAACATATTCACTTGCATATGGAAAAAAAAAGTCTCTGTATTTTTATTTTGACTTAAATGAAGTCTGTTCTGAATTAATTGTTGTGTTGCTTTTAGTTCCATGCTATTTTTAGTTTCAGAGTTCAAGTATATTTCTGCTCAAATGGTAGATTTGGTGCTGTTATCTTTTCTCCTTCTTCTTCTATCTCTTGTATATGTATATGTTTAAAGATCATTGTTAATTACAGGATGTTGCTGTGAAAATTCTCATGGAGCAAGATTTTCATGCTGAACGCTTCAAGGAATTTCTAAGGGAGGTATGTATTGGTCAGAATTTTTAGTGAAATGTTACTTAGGTGAATGAAAAAAGTTGTTAGTCTTCTTGGTTTTGTTTTGACTTGTGGTTTCTTGCCCTTTTTTTTATAGGTTGCAATAATGAAACGCCTACGACATCCAAACATTGTTCTTTTCATGGGTGCGGTTACTCAGCCTCCAAACTTATCTATAGTGACAGAGTATTTATCAAGGTTCTTTACCCCCCTTAGAATAAATTTTTGTTCGTTTTAAATGTTTCTCCTTATTCTTATGTGCATGTATTATGATTTTTAAGAAGTTAAAGGAACTGAATTCTTTAGTTTTCACTGCAGAGGTAGCTTGTATAGGCTCTTGCATAAATCCGGTGCAAGAGAGGCATTGGATGAAAGGCGAAGGTTGAGTATGGCTTATGATGTGGTATGCATGTGAATTGAACTTCAAGATATATTTTTTTTCTTTTTTCCGTTTGTTTCGACTTATTTTGAGCTAAAATCATGGCCTGTCAGCAGGGTTAATTGAGTTGCTCTTTTTTTTCACAGGCAAAGGGGATGAATTATCTCCATAAACGCAATCCTCCCATTGTCCATAGAGATCTAAAATCTCCAAATCTTTTGGTTGACAAAAAATATACTGTGAAGGTAGGCCAGTAACTCCTTATATTTTCCAAACAGATTACCATCTTTCTGTTTCATTGATTAGGGAACTAGGAAAAGTAAGTTTCCTGTGTTCCCATTTGTAGTCAGGAATTCTATTTGCCAGGCATGAAGCCTTTATTGGCTACTAAGTTACTATCATTCTTTGACAAACAGATGCTATTGGACACTCTTGTTATGTTCTTAAACAGCATTCAAGTAGCCTGTTATTTTCTAGTGTAGTTTTACTTGAATGCTGGTGGTTTGTCTCATAGCCAGCCTGTTTAGTTTAGCTGGTTGTGTTGGGCGTATGGCATGCTGCATTGGTCATATCTTAAATAATTTCCATTAATTATGATAACTTTAATGCAATATTTGCTGTCATCTCCTGCAAGATGAAGCTGCATATTTGAGCAAAGAGAGAGAGAAGTAACACTGAGTCTTTGTAGTGGGTTTGGAGGATGGATATTCATCGGAACTTTGCTAAATTATTGAAGAAATAAGTGATCCTCTTGTGTACTTTGTTCACAAATATTATTGGAATCTCTTTTGGAAGTCCAACTTTGTGCAAACATGTTTTTATTGCTAAGAATAGCAATGGGTATGGTACTTGCAGAAGTTGCTCTACCCATACTCCAATCTAGTCAATAACCCACTACTAAAATCCATCCTTTGTCCTGCTGTGGGAGTTGCTCTACCCCTACTCCAATCTAGTCAATAACCCACTAGTAAAAGCCATCCTTTGTCCCATTAAGGTTTTTCGTTTGTTGCTCTCATATGTGCTCCAAATCCGATTAACCCTTTGTGCACAGTAATTTTATATCTTCTATTACAGAACTTGATGATCCACTTAAAATATATTCACATATGTAACGTGTTATTTATATATTTGGATTTGGGTGCAATGAGGTAGTTGTTGCCTGATTTACTAAATCAGATTTCCAAACTCATTTATGAATGCCTAAACCTTTTATAATTGGAGCAACTAGGGTGAAGCATCCAGACATTCTCAACCTGTTATAGTCTCTATTTTTGGGTTCCAAGATCTTTCTCCGTCTCTGTCTGTCTATCAACCCCCCATCTTCCTACCCTGAGCAATAATATTCAATCCTTTTATTATTATTATTATTATTATTATTATTATTGTATAAGTTGGTTTCTTTCCTAGTTATCCTCATCCTTTCCTCACTTTTTTTACAGGTCTGTGATTTTGGGCTCTCTCGTCTGAAAGCAAACACGTTTCTCTCGTCAAAATCAGCAGCAGGGACTGTAAGTGCTATTAAAATTTACAACTTCCTGACTGGGTCTTTGTTTTAAGTTGACACTATTTGTTGCAATATAAGCTTAACAATATCTCTTCTTTTTTATTAGCCTGAGTGGATGGCACCAGAAGTTCTCCGTGATGAACCATCAAATGAAAAGTCAGATGTATACAGTTTTGGTGTTATATTGTGGGAGCTTGCAACACTGCAACAGCCCTGGAGCAATTTAAATCCTGCACAGGTTTGTTTTCTGAAGTTGACATTTTTACATTTGAATTATGAAGTCCAAATGACTCGGATTTTCTCAGTTTAAATGGATCTGTAAAATTCTTGTTAGCAATTAAGGAAATTGTTGCATGAGGGTAGTGTTGCCTAAAAGTAAGTAGGTTGAAACTTGAAACCATAACAATCTGCCTACAGTTGAAGAGACTTCAATTTACCAAGGCTCATGTACTCACGGTATCTGCCTTCTTGAGAGGAACTGGGTGTAAGAGTTGTTATTTTGTTCAAACTGTTACCTACCTAAACATCCTGTTAAGAGAAAAAGGCGATTCATTGACTTATATTTCTTGGTTTTGAAGTATCATGAACCATTAATAAATGGTTCCCAATTCTAATATTTTGCCATTAACGCACTTTGGGACTTATGTTTGTGGTTGTGAGGTGACAGTCTAAATCTATTGATGTAACATCTCTGTTCTATTTGGTGCTCATTTTAGTTGTTTCATTTTGTTCAAGTGACTAGAAAACTGCAGTAAGAAAATGTGACCCTAAAGTTCGATTACTCTGGGCTGTCATTCTATATTTCTGCACTTCTGAGTGATAGTATTTTCTTGTTTCAGTTATTGTATTTTTACTATTATTATCATTATTATTATTATTATTATTCAATTCTGATCTGCTTACTTGTTTTCTCTCACAATTATTGCAGGTTGTAGCAGCTGTCGGGTTTAAGTGCAAGAGGCTTGAAATTCCAAGGGATTTAAATCCTCAAGTTGCCACATTAATTGAGGCATGCTGGGCTAAGTGAGTTGAAAAATTTTTATTCATATTTATTCTCAAATCACAACACATTAACTTTTGATTCGTTACAATGTTGTTAATATGAGTGGTTTTGCTGCAGTGAGCCTTGGAAACGCCCTTCTTTTGTCTCTATCATGGAATCTTTGAGACCATTGATTAAAACTCCCACGCCTCCAACTGGTCACGCAGATATGCCATTACTTACCTGAATAAGGTTGTAGCACCAGTGAAATCTTCTTTTGTACACATAATACACATTCTTTTGACATTGACAAAAGGCAGAGACAAGCATTATTTAGATATTCAGGTGCGTCTTCCTAATTATTTCAGCTTTTGCGTCCCTAATTGAAGTTATTTTCATTGCTATCAAATTGTTGGAAAAGATGAATGGAAGTTGAAAATTTTGATAGCCATGCATTCTTGATTGTAAATTACAATCGACTCCCCCTTTTTTCTTAAAAAGATCTGGAGCATCAGCAATGCACAAGTTATACTCGTATGTTGCATCTTTTTCTTATATCAGGTCTTTAGTGCATGTAGCTTTCACAAGTTACATAGCATCTATCTGTTTTTATTTGGCACAATTGCTCTACATTTTTTTTTTGGATATATCTAAGATTCTGATGTTTTTCGTTATTTCTCAATTGCAGAATCCTTGTTGTACATGTCTGTTCTTGCCAATTGAGATTCTAATTTTTAGCACAATCTAAGGAACTGCACAATATTTGCGTTACCTTTCCTGCTGCCGACAAATATTGTTCACCGTGATGGAAAAGTTGTATAAAGTTGTCTCTCATAATTTTTGTATGTAAGTTGTAATTTGAATTTAGCTTAATGGGAAGCAGCTTCATAGCATTTGCACACATTCGTTCATTTGTGTTTAAAAAGAACTCATCAGATTCCTTTTTTTCATTCCTCAATGCGTCTGGTAAAAGCGGAACTGCCAAAAGCGGTTTGCTCCAATCCTTTTAACATGGAACTGGAAAGAACTTCTGGAGAATAACTCGACATGGATTGTCCTGCCAACAATTTTAGTGTCATTGCTGCTTTTAACTTATTCTCAGACGTGAAACTGATTTGCCACAATTTCTAATGCTGAGAACTTTATTGGAATATAAGCAAGCAATCCAGAGAATGATGATGCCTTCTCCTGCTCCCTCTTTTACCTTATTATTCTTTTACGAGCATAATTTTCTTTGTTTTGCTATTGTTTACACCCATTGTCCTTCGCCCCTATTATCCCGTTGGGGTGCGCCCTAGTACGCAGAATGAAGTGCTCGATATCTTTCATCCAAATGATCTCAAATTAAGTTTATTATGTACTTCTGGATAAATAAATTTGATTTCGCACGCGCATAACATTGCTGCAGTTACCCTCTGAATCCTACTAGTTCAGCAGTTTTTGCTTTTGGTAAAACTATTTACCAAAAAGATGCAAGATTGGAAGTAATTCTAAGAATAATGTGATGGGAGGTAAATATATTTATTAGAAATGAATATGTCTTTGCGGAAGCATATTTAGCTATAAAAAGTAACCAAATTTACTTGCCCTTAAGACAGATTTAGAATCCACATTGAACACAAAAAAATAAAAAATAAAAAAATAATAAAAAAAATAAAAAACAGAAGTAATTTCCCTTAAATCTGCCGGCCACTGACACGCCGCCATTCAAGGCAAAGTATTATTTTAAACATCATTGCAATTTGTTGATTATATATAAGGATGCAAGAAATTGGAAGTGAATTCTAAGAATCATGTGATGAGGTAAATTATTTATTAGAAATCGAATATGTCTTTGCGGAAGCATATTTAGCTATAAAAGTAACCAAATTTACTTGCCCTTAAGAACAGATTAGAATTCTCACATTGAACACAAAAAAATAACAACAAATAAAAAAATAATAAAAAAAATAAAAAACAGAAGTAATTTCCCCTTATAAATCTGCCGGCCACTGACACGGCCGGCCCATTCAAGGCAAAGTATTATTTAACATCATTTGCCAATTTTTGTTTTGATTATACTATATTAATATATATATATATATATATATATATATATTATTATATATATATATATATTATATATATATATTATTCTTATTCATATAATTTGCGTTAATTCACAAATCAATTCTAATTTTTTTCAGGTTAAATTTCTGCTTTGAATAAAAATAGTCTTCTATTAAACACATAACATAACTAAAACACAACAAATCTTTGAATTCAAGATTTGCTTTTGTTTTTTTTTTTTTTTTTTTTTTTTTTTTTTTGAATGAAGATACAATTTTTCCTGAGGCAATAAAATCAACATTTTTCTTAAAAGGTTTTTATACATACATTTAAAAAAAAAAAATTAAAAAAAAAAAAAAAAAACAAACGCTTGAGTCAGCTGGCATATTCAAGTAAACAAAAATTTTTATTTTATTAAAAAAATGAAAAAAAATTAAAACAAAATCTTGAATCTGATAGCTCTGGCTTGCATTTTCTTTTATTTTTATTTTCAAAGATTTTATATAAAAAAATAAAAAAAGAAATTTTAATCGAAAACCTGAACTTGATGCCAATATTCGAAATAACCGAAAATAACATTTTTTTTTATTAAATTTCGAAATGCCAATATTCGAATATTTTGGGTCAATTCACCCTGTTGGATCATGTCATGTGCGTGCAAATGAAATTTATATTAAAATTTGATCAAATATTATTCAACATCTGATCATCTATAAATTTATGGATTGAATTATATGAATTTAAATATAACTAACCTAAATTCTATTAAAAAAATATGAAATTTCCAAATAAATTCTATAAATTTAATTAACCTAAAATTTTATAATAAAGCTATTTATCTTCCTAGTTTTCAAAATTATTATACCAAGATACTTTATACCATTAAGAAATAAAAGTAAATGAATTTCAATTTTAAATTTATTGCAAACATAAAAAATCCATTTACATAAGAATATTCATTTATATTAAACAGAGAATTAAATTGCATTCATATTATTCCCAATTGAGATGCAACATAAATTGAACGTACATAAAAATTAAATCTGGTTCTAATTTCCTTTGTGTTTTCTAATGTTTCTTCCTTTATAGGTTTTACTTTGCTATATATATATATATATATATTATATATATATATATATATTTATTCGTTAGAAGGTCCACAAGAAAAACATTATGCATTGTAACATAAGGTAACCCTGTGGTGAGATGTCTCCAAAAAACTTATAAGAAACAAGCTTAGTACCACTTTCAATAATAATAAATGAAAAAATCTAAAAAAATAAATGAACAGCTTCAGTCTCTCCAATAAATCAACACTCAATTATCTCCTCTTTCAGCGATTGGAGTTGCCTTGATCCTGCTCTCTGTCTATCTTCCAGTAATTAACAAAGATCAGCCATATATCAAGTTTAAAATTTTAAAACACTTTAAAATGAATAAATAAATAAAAAAAATCACCAGAATTAAACCTTAGATATTAAATTGGAAGTAAAAACAACAGTGAAGGTGAGAATATATTAATTATTTCACCTAATGTGATTAAAAACAAACGTCAATCATATTCTTAATAAATTATTTCACCTAATGTGATTAAAATAATTTCCATTTTTTTTTAATTATTCATGGAATATAACATAAAGGTACTATTAGATTAATTTTCATGAAGTGTGAAGTATAAAGTCATATAATCTAATACGTACATTATTAGCTTATAATAGTTAATTTAAATCAGACTTATATTATAAATAAAATCACACATTCTCTAAGACGCGACTTCACACAAAGTTACTATAAATCTAATTTGAATATTTTTAATTTAATTTAATTTGAAGTGTAATCAAGTGTGACTTAATCAAATATAACTTAATCTTATTTCAATTAAGAGTCTTTATTTAATTTAATATCAAGTGTGACTTAGGATCCGTTTGATTTAACTGTTCATACCATCTAATAGTTGATAGTCAGTAATTGATACTCATAGTGGTTAACTAATTGGTAAAATTTTGATAGTAGTAATTGCTAAAATGTAAAATAACCTTTAAGATTATAATTGTGTTTATATTATGTATAATGTATATATATTTTTTAACCTGTTAAGGTGAATATATTATTTTTATTTTAATTTATTATTTTAACAGAAAATTGTTATTAAATACTATAAATAAAATGCCCATAAAAATATTAATTAAAAAAAAATATTGTTTATTATTTTTATGAAGTTAATAAAGTTTAAATACAATATAAGTACAAAATAGTTACCAATTGATACCAAAAAAAGCTTCAAAATGTAGTTGATGGAATCAATGACTTTTATTGAGACTTCTATCACCTATAAGTTGCTAATTAAAAAGCTTATTAAATACCTACAACCAAATTGTTGATTACTAATTAACTATCAGTTGCATGAATTAGCTAAACTAAACCCCCCTTACCAAGTGTGCTTCAATCTAATTTCAATTAAGATGTCTTAATTTCTAGTTCCAAGTGTGACGTAATTTAATTCTAATTAGGGTGTCTTAATTTAATTTAAGGGAAAATAATTATTTCGTTCCTGAAGTTTGCGATAATTATTTAAATAGACCTCGACATTTATACAAATATTTATAACATCCCTGAAGTTTACTTCCGTCTTATTAATTGGTCTTTCCATCTAAAAAACACATTTTTTCCTTTAATTTTGAGAGGAAAAGACGAAATTATCCTTTATAAGTTTTCATTATTTCGTCCCTAAGGTTTGCCATAATTATTTAAGTAGTCTTTGACATTTATATAAATATTTATAACATCCCTGATTTTCACTTCAATCATATTATTTGATCTTTCCTTCCAAAACACGCACATTTTTCTATTAATTTTTAATGGAATGATCAAACTACCCTAAATCCTGTAATTAACATATCCTCCTTTTCAACTCATTTGCTTTCCTTCTCACTCACTCACAAAAATGGTATAAACAAATTCCATAGAGCTCAAAGCAGAATGAACAACATCTACTTGAGCATCAAACATGTTCATTTACTTAATCTTTGTATTTGCATCCAGTGCATTACTTTGCTCAATAACCTCAGCAATCAAATGCAGAATGAACAAACATCTTACTTGAGCATAACTCATGTTCATTTTACTAATCTTTGTATTTTTGTCATCTCTCAGCTTTTTGCTATTTATACTCATAAAATATATATATATGCTTTCTAATTTAACTCTCTGCTATATTACTTCTTTATGATATATCATGCATCTTCTCTATTATATAGATATATAACATCTACTTGAGCATCAAACATGTTCATTTACTTAATCTTTGTATTTGCATCCAGTGCATTACTTTGCTCAATAACCTCAGCAATTAATCCTAGAAACAGCAACCATATGCAAAATCTGCTAAAAAGAAGACCAATACAGCAAAACAAAAATTTACACAGCACATTTAGCTTACTCTTGTTCACTTAAAACCCGACACCACCATTAACAAATGCCCATGTAAATTTTAAATCATAAATTGTAAACTAAATTTAATGTAATCACCCAGTTTGATTTAAACCCAAAATTGAGCAAGCAGATTAGAAATTTAGAAATTTACCCAAATTTTAGATTAAAATTTTTAAATTTCGGGTAAATTTAGAGGATTTAGGGTAGTTGAAAGGGAAGATATATGTTAATTAGAGGATTTAGGGTAGTTTGGTCATTCTATTAAAAATTAACAGAAAAATGTGTGTTTGTTGGATGAAAGGATCAAATAATATGATGGAAGTGAACCTCATAGATGTTATAAATATTTATATAAATATCAAGGACTACTTAAATAATTATGGCAAACCTCAGGGACAAAATAATGAAAACTTATAAAGGATAATTTTGTCTTTTCCTCTCAAAAATTAACGGAAAAAGTGTGTTTTTT